TAAACGATACCGATACTGCGCGGAGCTTCTCGTTGTTCTTCATTCTTCATCGTCCATTACTCTATTTATAATGCATTTATCATGTTCTTTCGGGTCTCTTGGGACCCAAGCTTACCTGTCTAAAGGGCCAGACTCGCACACTGACCTGGTCCATTATCGGTAGCTGGTTGACATAAAATTTGGTGAGAAAGAGGAACGATTATTTATCTCATTTATGCTGTTGTCTTTAGCTCTCATCTCAATCTTACTGTGTTGTATATCACACTGTCTTGGCTATCCTGCGTCACTTGGCACGCTCGCAGGCTGTAAATAGGGCTATTCGTCCCCCGACACCCCTTATCAGATCATGAAGTGGCATAAATCACCTTACTAACCCACATATTCATTGACTTTCTGGTTGTACTCAGTCACCGGGTCTCCACTAATAAGCGTGCGATGAAGAATGATGATGAATGGTATTACTTCAACTCAACCCTGTAAACGATCTCTCCCGTCACATACATTTGGCCTTGGGCATGGAATCTCATCAAAAGAATACTCCTGTTCGTACTTTCCGACCATTATATCAGTCAAGCGGGGACACGATGAAGGACAAACTCGCCTTCTTTCATTTACTAGAAGAGCTCAAGGTATGGTACTAAGCCAGGCCCTTTAGGCGTGTCTATATGAAGTGATTCTCCATAGACACAGAAACGAACTGGGTGGGTGAACAATAAGGTCAGCATTCCCAGAGTGGCGAGCACACAGGCATCTATTCTAACTCCTTGCGAAGATTCCACATCCCGAGAGGTTAGTGATTTGTTAACATCAATCAGTCCATACTGAAGGTTCCAATAGCATTAGTGATCACATGTATCGTATGGCAGTCCTGGCCCTCTGCACAGAGGACACTACCCTCGACATCGCCAAGTAGGTTAACGAGTCTTTGCACATTTCACGGCTATAAATATCTGATCATATCATAGATGTGTTATGTTGGCCGTGGTTCATGACCTTGCCGAAGCTCAAGTTGGCGACATTACACCAGACGAGGGGTTCACCAAGGAAGAAAAAAGGAAGTTGGAAGAGGTCAGTAGAATGTCACACTCCCCGACCCATTTATATTGATTTAAATATTGACACTCGACTACAAAATCAAGGACGCGATGACCAATGTCGGTACGGAGATGCTTCACAATTCGTCAGCGGCTCAACGGATTTTGGCCTTATGGCAAGAGTATGAGGCCCAGGAGAGTCGAGAAGCACGTTTTGTTAAAGGTAGGTGAATGATCCTCTAGTGTGGCGGTATGATCATACCCCTATATAGACTTAGACAGAATGGAGATGGCTCTACAAGCAAGAGAATACGAGAAAAGATACAACTGTGACATGCAGGGTATGGATCTTCAACCTTTTTTTGACAGTAGCATACCGAAGCTTCGAGAGCCTGAGATCAGATCTTGGGGGGAGTGTTTACAGAGCGAAAGAAACGGGGACAAATAAAGTTGCAATTGCACATTGCCTAAAAGCCCGTGGATAGATATTTGGATTATATTTCTACGATTTTATCGTCCTCGTCACTCTCTTCGGCATGCGAAACTCGGCCAACCCCAGCGCCATTGGCTTTTGGCTCTTCTTGCTCTTCTCGGTCCTCGGGTGCCTCATCTCGTTTCAGCATATTCACCAATCTTTCAATGTGAGATATAACCTTGATTGTAACTGTGAGCAACCCTTGACAAAATATTCAACTGAGCCAACCTTTTCGTCCTCTTCTGTCTCGTGCATGATTCTCACGATTTCATATACACCACTTCGTCTCTCCACATCTCTGCCCCATTTGGTTGTGCAGAGAAGCAATAGTGTCTCCAGATGAGTGAGACGAAGAACGGGATCAACTTCGCGCTTTTTCGTT